CTTCCTCCTAAAAAAGCAAAACAACCACCACCAAGACCAGCACCCCCACGACCGACCCAAGGACCTACCGGCCCTTTACGAGCAGCACCAGCACCACCTACACCTTCCCCTACTCCTGATCCCTTTGCAAATGCTTTCTCTGCTCAACAAGGAATTATGGATAACAATAACAGCAATAATTTTAATACGTCTACTGGATTTGCAGATTTTGCAAATTTTGATTCTAAGGTATGTATTTTTATATTTTTAAATATCATACAGTATCATTAAACATCATGCTCCTTTTTTGTTCGTTAATAGAACAGTTACTTTTTTAGCACTCTTAATTATGATAATGATTTCCTTCTTTTCTGTTTAAGTGTTCCCATATATTTTCCTGGTCATATTCCCTCTCTCACAATTTTGTCAATTTCTAGTATGTCATACTTTGTTATTATGCATTTAAAGTATATATTTATAAGTAAAATATATTGATATGATTTGAATATAATTTAAAATAAAATATTATTTATTTAAATGATTGTTAGCTTTATTTTTAAAGAATGTTATATTTAATTTCGTTATGTAATGTCATTTCAATATATTACAATATAATTTTTTAAAAAATATTTATGTTAAAAAAAAGAATTAATTATACTTTTTGTTTTATATTTAGGTAGAAGCTGCACAATTTTCAGTTTATTCATTGACCTGACTCCTGGAGCATGCTGTCTACAAATTAATTAATTTATTCTGTTTGTTCCAGTATTATATTTTCATTTTATAATATTGCATGATAATTTTTACATTACTTGATTACTTATATTTAAATAAAATATTCGAGTGATTCAACTAATTTAAATATTGCAGAGTATTAGACAAAGTCTTTAATAATATGTTCATCTGCCAGTGAAATTGTTTGAAGAGTTATTATTTTTATTTGTCATTTTGTATTTTTTGTTTCTTGAATACATTACAAAATTTCTCAACAATAATTGATTATAACAGTAGAAAATTACGAAGGGATTAATTTAATAATATACTGCAGATATATGGTAGCATTATTATTATAGTTTTTTTATATTATATATTAATCAAAGCGAATGGGCTCGAATATTTTGATTCGCTTGCAATTCAGTATATTTTAGTATTCAACAGCAGCCACGTATGGTGCAGCAGCCAGACGATAACTAGCGGTTTTTGCGCTATTTTTTCTACCTTTTCAGTAAACGAAAATTGACCACTGAAAAAACCCTGCTTCAGCCGGAACCAATACTGAATCGAATGGCACCACCCAGACCAACCAACAGAACACATGCAGTATCAACAGTAACTCCGAAGCTACCGGACTTCACAGAAGATCCCTTCAGAGACTATCGATATGAAGACCCTTTTAACATACCAGATCCTTTTGCAGACGAAACAGAAGATCTTAATGCAAATAAAAGTGAAACAACAGTAGGAGGCAATGTGGATCCATTTAGTTATGGGACAACTTCTGTACTTTCTCGTAAAAATTCATTCACAAAAAGCTTTGAAACTGATTTTTCAAATACCTTTTCTCTGGCTAAGAACAAAATTGATAAGGATAATGCTAAATTTGATGCTGATTTTGTGAAAGTATTCTCTGACGACAACAGAAATATAAAAGCCATTGAGTCTGATGCATTTTCAAATATCAAAATAAAAACAATCGATATCGATGAAGCATTTTCCACAAAAAATGAAAAGTCTGGTAGAAGATACGGACAAGATTTAACACACAATAGATCTAAAACTAGCTTTAACGATAAGAAATCGAAAAACGAGATTGGAAAAATTTGGAACGGTAACAACACGCCTTTAACGTTAAGCGAAGAAGAACAATTTGTTTGGGCTTCTCAACAAAGTCTAAAATTCGAGGAAGAAAGGCGCAGGCGTGAACAGCAAGAAGATGAGGAATTAGCATTGGCTCTTGAATTAAGTAAGCAAGAAAAATCTGGAGAATTATAAACTTTGTCTGTAAAGCACTTTCTCTTTGATTTATTTGATTGAATTGAAACATATGTATGTTTTCGAGCACAACGACTTTACAAATCTTGATAACGAAATCAGAACTGAAAAATAATATAATATGTTAATTTATTATTAATAATTATGAAATCTGTGCTAATGAAGACTATGAAAGATAATAGCATAAACTGTAATGCTTATTTTGAATACTATTTAGCATATCATAATTACTGTGACACAAGAACGGGAAACATAAAAAGGAAGTAATTAAGAAGTTAATCAACTAAACATGTATTGGTTCTAAATATAATCTTTTTAGTTTTCATTGGACACAATATATTTCACTATTCAACTATATTCTTACAATTAAATTTGTCAGTGCATAAAGTAATATTTGAACATAAAAAATTTCATTAAATTGCGCGCTCTTTTCGATACTCTGGTTTATCACAGAGAAATCGATCAATTTTGTAAAAAATAAAAAAGAGAAGGAAGAAAAATTAATCATTGCCTTGCAATATCGAATTTTAAGATAATGACACTTATATACTCGTAGCTGGTTGTACACTATCGCTAACGTTAAATTAGCATGTATAAAAGCAAAATATAATGGCAGATTATTGGATTGACAATAAAAAACGTTGTGTACACGTATTCCGTGAGTTCAAAGTGAGGGGAATAGTAATATAAATGATTATCCGCATTTGAACAGATAAAAGATTCTCAACGTTGTTATGTGAAATGCACTTACATAAATATATACATATAATATACATCTGTACATTTGCGAATAACAGCGGAATCTATCGTTTCTATTTATTTGATCTGCACTGTAAACAATGTCCTATGCATGATATTCTAACGTGATACATGTCTTTATCAATATTTATCGGAAGACATTGAATAAGCAAAATAAAAAAAAATTCTGGCTATGTAAACGTTAATAAGTAGGGATACATAAGACGTGCGACATATAAAAATTATTCAAACCTATTACATTAGTATGCTTTTCGGTATGTTATTATCGTGTATAAAAAAAATCAATTACAGGTTAAGATACAAATTTTGCGTTCCTCTAAATAGTACTAAAGCGCAATAAAAACAAAGTAAAATTTTTATTTCTGTTTAATTGAATTTAAAGTTAATTAACAGATAAACAAAAGCTGCGAATAGGAAAGAATGATATTTATTATGTTATAGTAGTGTAAGTGAACCGTTCCAATAACGTTTGTGAGAATGCCGTCTGATTCAGCTTTCGGTCTTAGTACGTCCCAAAGAAATAAGGTGTTCAGATAAAACGTAGCTCTGTGTTTGTCTCCGAAGCTTTTGCGTAGCATGGAATCATTCGAATCAAACACAAAGGGTCGCGTCTATCTTTACTTTTACTATTGTAATCATATAACTTTACAACGACAATGTATTATGCATGTTGTATATATTACTATCCGTATTATTTCATTATAATTAATACTATTACTATTATTACTATTGTCATTATCATCATCATCATCATCATCATCATCATCATCATCATCACTACCACCCCACTATCGTCGTTATCATTGTCATTATTACTATTATCATTATCGTCATCATAATCATTATTATTATTATTATTATTATTATTATTATTATTATTATTATTTTTACTATTATTATTATTATTATTGATGGCGTAGTAACTATATCATGAAACACCAGACACTGTCAATATATCATTTACCAGTGAACAAAAGGATAAAGTAAATGACTGTAAAATCGTATTATATTATGTGTTATTCATAAATACGATATTATTGTATACTAATATCGTTGTTTCGGATGCTTTGAATGAATGCATACATATATACATCTAGCGACAAATACATAAGTAACAACTTGCGAGGATTAAAGATATGTGTGCTAGAACTAACTTTCATCAGAATAAACCAAATGACCTAACGCCACGCTTAATTCGAATAATTTAGAGGGCCTCATCCAAAGAGTCGAATTAATCTTTGATTGTACCAACTATAGTCTACTGATAACAATGAATGATACATTGTTCGCAGATTTGATATTTTTCTGTCATTGTATGTTTGAAAATAATTCTGTTTGTGTAGTTCTAGTAATTTAAAGAACATTTTTGCTCATAACGAAGATCTAATCACTTTACAAACTGATATTAGTCTTTTTTGCTACGAATTGAATCGTTTTTCTACCTGTGTATCGATTCATGATTTTTATTAAAAAGTGAATGTTGATATATGCTTCTCAAGATGCTTTAAATTTTTCATTTTTGGAAAGTAATTCATATATATATTTTTTTTTTTGTAAATCTCGTTTGTAAACTGTAGCTCCTAGATTTCTGTAGAATATTTATTTCTTAGTTATAATAAAAGGAAGTTGGAACAATGGAGGAAATAAAATTCGATGAATTTTATATCTTTTCCTCAAATGCATTTAACACATTCTATTGCATGTATTATAACATAAATATACTGAAATAAAAAATACTTTAATAAAAATACATGCAAATACATAAGTCAAATCGAAGTATATATGCAAGCACTACTGAATAGCGTGTTTAGAATGCGTTAGGAAATGTGACTGCGGCATGTTTAAGCTACGTATAAATAGAAAACGCTATATTCCTTTTCGTTTTTGTTAATACTTAAGGGACGATGAACATATACAAATTGCATTATGTTGTAATAAACATTTTACATTTTATTTCACTGGTTCAAAACTTCAGAAACATGTATTTAAATTTTTAAAAAAAAAGTGAAAATCTGTAAACTTGTATTGGCAAGTTTCAAGAAAAAATGTTATAAATTTATTTATTATCTTATTACAATGTAATTAAACTTTATAATGATACTTGAATTATTGTTAAAATTGTTAATGAAATTAAACAAATTAACTCGTCCATTAAGTAGTAACGATAAAATCGCATTGGAATGATGCAAGTGCGAAGAACTCATTAATATCATTATTGATAAGAACGTTAATTTGTTACCGTTGTTACCAATGTACAGGTGTGTAAAGTGAGTAAGTATGTAGCATTATGTTTTTTTTCTGTTCACGCTACATTTGTTGTGCCGATATGTCCGAAGTTGTAGGTCACATTCATGAAAAATTATGAAAATATGGATGTCCAATACGAGTTTATTTATCGATACCGATACACTTGTTCACGTTGTTTCGATATTCTCGATATAAACTTTCATTTCCGACATGTTTAAAATGATCGACATAGCATTATCGTACTACGTATCATTAAACATTCTATTCTGTCACTTATTTCATACATTTTATTACTTTAATATTTTAACATTATTTCGTGATACCCTTTGCTATTATAAATGTCGAATATTCTTTTTCTTAATACTTTGGGATATTTAGTACAAAGAATTAGAAACTTTTCCATGTTTTTCTTCGTTAAGATATATCATGCTACTTCTATCTGCCTTATAAAAGTTACGTGCAAAAGAAATTCCAACAAATTTTTAACAGCACTGTCGAGAATAAAGATAACATCGTTAAAGGTATCACATAGGCATGAATAAAAAAGATTGATATAACGTAATCCATATCGAAATTGTTATGATTCACGTGCAAATGACACGAATTTTTGAATAATACGCGATAAAGCTATATATGTAAATGTATTTGAACTATGTATAATTAACTATGCAAATTATTAATCCCCCAACTGGTGCGTGGTAATGGAAGTCGACTTGTATACGGTGTACTGTGCATAAAGAACGCTGGTTTTTTTTTATATATATACATATATATAAATATACATAAATTTAGAAATTTGGGAAACATAAAATGGAAGAGAAGAAGGGAGCTGTAGCGATGCTTAATTTCATGTCCGCGACTCCCCAGTAGTAACAATAGGAAAGGTGTCGCGAGTCACTTTGTTCTTTGTGTGTAATCAGCAGAAGCACTTTCAAATAGCGTATGTTACATTAATTATACAAATATACATAAATGTATGTATTTTCGGTAAACAAATTCTCCGAGAGACTGAACATTGTAGCAGATCGTCCTTCGAAAAGACGAGATTTCGGGTAGAGAAGGTTTCTTCACGCGACTTTTGTATCTTCGAGAATATCTTGAAAAAGATGTTCTTGATGTTACCTTTAACAGGTGTATCATCATATAGTAATTAATTTTGTCGACATTCTTCTCGAATCGTAAAATAATGCGACAAAGTGTAAAAATGCTTGAAAAGATGTTATATTACGGTTAATTAGAAGAAGCAGAAAAAGTAAGAAAATTACCTTTCGAGACGAATTTGAATCTTCAAGGTAACGTTTTGCTTTGAAGATGCGTTTTTTTCAAGCTCATCGGAGAAATCTTCATCGTCAAGGACGAGGTTAAAAAGAAAAGCATTCCAAAAATACTTGCGAACTTCAAATTTCTCCATGAGTCCACATTGGTGGAACCTCGTCGATGCCCATTTGCAGATAAATGGTATCTGAATATACATAAATGCATAAAAGTTATCGAGATTTGTTTGCTGTTTGTTTAACGTTAAAATTAAAAAAATGCTGCACGTGTGTATATGTAGATGATCCGCACGCTAATCATTTTTTTCGATTTTCATGTACCGCGAAAGTAGACAATTTTGAGACTGTATTATAATATTATCATACCCACGTGTATTCCAATGTGTCTAAAATTTAAGATACATTGAAATTGTGTTATACGAAACAATTCTCTTTAGTACGAAAAAAGAGCATTTTTTTATATAACAGTGTAACGGAATTATAAGTTCTTCTTGTTAAATTTATTCGTTGGCGAATTGCACCTCGTACGAAAGGTATTATGTTCCTTTTTCGTTGCTTGTACTGTAGCTGACTTCAAATAATTTCAATAACACGTTTCGTGCCGGCTGGTTAACCCATAAAATCGGTAAAAAGTATCCATTTATCGAAAATATTCTTCCGTTTAATATTAATCTGAAATAAATGAAAAAAAAAATTAACAGTTTGTTATATAATCGCAATTTTTCTACAATTTTTGGATCGAATATGTTATTTGATATATTAAATGTTTTACGGCATTCAACGTGTTAAATGTCTTTGCTCAACCACTAAGTATTGCGTAAGATGTCTGTTTCTATTTCGTAAAATGGATGGAAAAGAATATATTTATTGGTTTTTGTGTTACAAGTTGACAAATTAATTAGAGTCTGATCATTTGAGACACACTGTTGTACGTTCTAAATATTCCTGAACGCTCGCTATTTAGCTGGTAACGAAGGTAATCTGTTGGCCAAGCGTCTGCCAAAGCGCACGCGAATACTAATTTATTATTATCGTTCGTTGGAACTCGCGTTAAATGGACATCGTTCATGCCCGACGTGATTCTCGAGCAAACGTAATTGATGATCCTTCGTCGAACTTATATATTAAAAACTTAAATATTTTGCGAGTACGACAGAAACTGCATTTCGCTAATAACGTTAAATATTTTTTTCAAAAATGAAAAAACAATAATTCATCGTCACTATTTTCAATCTTGTTTCATATTATCACTCTTTATTCATTTATAATATATCGTTTCTATATTTTTGCAAATATCGAGGAACTTAAATGGTACTTTGTAATCGAATATTTGAAACTGAATAGAAAATACTAAAATTTCTAATCAACTTTATCCCTACTTTCCGATAAAACAAATAGCGAGTTTACGATCAGGATTTGTTACATGCAACCACCCCGCGGTCATGTGATTAACAGATATATTGTACCGATGTTACGAATTCTTATAGGTAAATACGTACATATATAGCAAACCGTTGTTTTATTATAATATAACCTCCTTGTATATAATAAGTTTAAATATACAAACATCTGGTTCACTATGTGTACATTAACCTCTATATACTTATTTTTTCCTATTTTATATTTTCGATGTTCTTTAAAAGAAAATATTAATTTTAAACTTACTTGTTCAAATTTTTGCTTCGAACATTCTTTGCCATTCGAAGAAGTGATTATGTATTGATAGTATCATCAAAATATACCTCAAATAGATTTTTAAAATATTTTTGACATTTTTGCAATTTACTATAACAGCACTTTTGCTAATGTAACATATTTGATCTTTATTTAAAATTTTTAGTTTCATTTTATTAAGTTGTTACTTTCTTATCGATTTGTTTTCAATATAAAAGTTTAAACATAATAATTTAATACATTTGTTTAAGTTCAATTAAATATTGAAAAATTCGTATTAAGCGATAGTAATGTTAATGCATTTGATTATCATGTAAAGAAAAACAAGTTACGCCCCTGAAACGTCGATTTATTTACCGCAAGATGTCATCATTGCGAAAATACATTCGTACCTGGTCATACCGGTTTTAAATTTAAATAAAAATAACATTGTTATCGTAAACATATATTATCAACTATTCATTAAATTTTGTAAATCTTTCTAATAAAAGACGAAAAAAATTAAAATTAATATTTATTACACATGCAATATATTATATATTAAATATTACAATACGTAAAGAAAAGTGTATATATTTTCGTATCATTATTAGAAAAAATGATAGGATACAAAAATATGACGTATATTTAAAAATACGAAGATATTACTAATTAGATAAATACAATACTTTCTTAATAAAAAAAATATAATATAATTAAAATTATTTAAAAAATTATCGATTAGAATCATTAATAATATTACTAAAAATATAATTTATTTAATCACTATTTATTGATTTGAAAGAAAGTTAAATCGATGCAAAGTATCGTATCTTTTTTGTCGAATGCCTTAAATAGCCGCTTCTTTTAAATGCGGTATACCTTTTCTATTGTGATCATCGTATCGTTACGCATTTCGAAACGAAACCGTACTATGCAAAAGTACACTTAGCGTGATTGAAAGATTATTTGACTATTTGGTTTATTTTACTATGTTTTGTAAATAAATTAACCATTCATACATCATTAGAACATCTATTTTTGTAAAATAAATAGTTTGTAGAAGAAGGACTCAGAATTTGTGCAGCAGCTGATGTGTAAAGATGGCCAAGCTCAATACAAACAAATAGTGATCAGTGATGTGCTGATTTTACAACTGACTCTGCGCCTTAGGGGTGAGTAAATTTAATTCATATACATAATATCGATAAATAGTTTTGTTTTTCAATTACTCCAGTATTTTCTGGAAATATTTAAAATTTTCAAAAATATTGAATGGTAAATGACATCTGTCCTGACCTGCTCAATAAAATTTCTCATTTACGTCGAATTTACGACAGCATTGCCTTCAGATGCAAAATTTTGCAAACTGATCCTTATACTTTAATTAATGTGTCGTTTACAATTTTATCAATGTCTTTCCAATAAACTGTAAAAGATAAAGTATTTTAGACCCCTCTTTTTTAAAGATAAGAAATAAAACTTAATCTCTTAAATTATCAATGCATTGATTTTAAAAGAGGTTTTTATTTGCTATTTTTATTTGATACTTTTTATATTTATAATTATTTACAGGTTTTTTAAATCTTACTGACTTTTTACTACAATATTTTTATATTTATAGGCAAATGGTAAGGAAGTTTATTTTGTTGCACATTAAAAAATGGCTTATGATCCACGTAATATAAAGTATACATCAGAAATGCATAACCATCAGCATAATCAGCCTAACATGACTGGCTATACATATTCTGGACATCCAGTATCGCATGTTCAACAAACAGATGAAAATAGAAATGAGAATAATTGTGGAAACAAAGAAGCATGTTCTCAAATATCTCATCAGTCTTCGGGTACACAAACTATTCAAAAAGTAGATGCAGCAACTATGACTGATCCATTACAAATAGACTTTAGACTTACTTCTGAGTACTTAGCACGATGTTCTAGTACATTAGGTTTACCATATGTAACTAAATATGAAGAAAATAGTAATAACTCTACACATAATTGCCAAGAAATTCGACCGAAAATTGAATTTGAAGTTGAACCACAGCATATCAATGGTAAATGCATACAGAGAAATGTAATACAAATTCTGTATATTTTATTGTATGTATAAAAGTGCTTATTATAAATTTTATTACAAATATTTCAGGTATGTTAATCTATCATTGTCCAGAATGTGCATATAGATTTGAAGATCGAGAAGCATTACATGAACATCTAGAAGATCACAGACAAAGACCCCATATCTGTGATATTTGTGGTGCAAGTTTAAAGCGTAAGGAACATCTAGATCGTCACAAACAAGGACATAATAAAGATAGGCCTTATCAGTGTAATATGTGTTGTAAAGCATTTAAACGTAATGAACATCTTGCACGTCATATGATTATTCACTCAGGTAGCAAAAATCAAGTTTGTACAGAGTGTGGCAAAGCTTTTTATAGAAAAGATCATTTAAAGAAGCATTTGCAAAGTCATAATAGTAGTAGAAGCAAAAATTTAAATAGTTCACAGAATAATCAGAATAGCCAAAATAATGGTGAAGAAGGATTGAGTAGTTTTGCAATGATGATGAGGCAGGCTGGGCCGCCTTCGTTTTCTATTTTGAGAACTTAATACATTTTTATCTTAATCTTAAAACAAAGTTGTTTTGTAATTTAGGCAATTTAAATTTAAGAGATTGATACAGCGAGCTTTATCAGAGACACTTTCATGATATAGCAGAGTAGTTGTTGATGGTTCTGAATTTTGCAGTTATATATATGTATTAGTCTGGAAATGCTACTTACATGTAGCAAAAAAAAAGAAGAAAAAAGAACAAATGGGCTCTAAAATAATTCTGTAAATTTTATATTTCTCTTTTTAATGTCTCTAATATGCACAATATTCTTAAAGTAAGAATGTACCTGTTAAGAGCAGTTCTTTGAAATATAATATATATATTTAGATACTTTAAACAATTTTATTTAAAAAAGATATTTATATAAATTATTCAAGCTTTTATATAAATTACAACTGGGTATAAGCCTAGCACTGTTAATTTTTTTTTAGATTTCACATTCGAGATAATATCCAAAATGTATGAAACAACAGAAAACAATAATTTACTAATAAAATTTTAGTTTGGAATTTAATGAAAGAACAATATATTAATTAAATATATTCTAATGCATTCTAAATTAAAATAATTTTTGGAAAATTAACTTTTAAATATTTTCACTAAGTAAAAAATTATACAAATACTTTATAATGCAGTGCACAAATAATTCTTGTTATGCTCAAGATATTTAAAGAAGATATGTATTTGTTATATATATGATGTGTAAAAAGAAAATACATGATTTTGTTTTCTGCTAAAATAACGGTATCAATCATCTTGGATCATGTGCCTAAAAAAAAACAGCATAATAACATTTATCTTTGCACGTAATTATGAAAAAGGGATATAAAATTAACATTAAGAATAGTTTGTAATCAATGGGATACATTTTTTAGCTCTAACTGCAAAAGGAACATTGCATAAAAGCTATATACTTTAAATACAGTAAAAAATTGACAAACATGATATTCTCAAAATGTGAAATCGAAAAACTATTTAATTATTTTATATATAACTGCATAATTATTTTTGTTTTATTTATCTTTATATTGTAAATTGTGAGTATTTAGGACTAACAAAAATTTGATTCAAGTTGAAGTCTTTTAAAAATACGAGCAATGTTCCTTAATGTTTAAAGTTGAAACAGTGATGAATGTAAGGATATGTCACGTTAAATAATAATTTAAGACTGCAGGTTACATTGTGCGAATGTCAGTGTATGTGTGTGAGTTATTGCATGTGTGTGCTATATGCAAATATATAAAGACGTGTATAACACTTATTACATGCGTAATATATTACATGTTACATATTATACACGTATTTATACATGAAATGTTATGTCAAATTGTCCTTGTACATTATTTATATTTATCAAGAAAACCGACCATATATCGGCTTTATTATGTAATGCTTCCAAGTGTACATAATCGGACATATTACATGAAATATGTTTAACAAAAGATCAACGTTTTGTTATCGGTTGTAGCAATTACGATGAAACTAATAAATCATTATTACATAAAATTATAAATCGTTTAAAATTAAATCATAATATTTCGCAAGTTGCTGTTAACAGGATATGGAGAAAGAAGGAATTGTGAATAATAAAAATTAGCATATTTTCTGAGATGACTTTTCATACAATTTTTATATATATATATATAGATATATATTATATATATAGGGTATTACATAAAGCAGCACTGGGAAATGTCCGAAAAAACGTTCACAAACTTTAAACTTCTATCCTCGCAACCTAAATTCGTCTGTCTGTATTTTTTTTTTATACCTACATATCCCTTTTATACGTTTTCTCTTTTCATCTACTACATAAGTCTTGCTTTTTTGTTTGTCTCAAACCATACCTCTTTCCCCGTTCTTACATTCCTGAAGATTACATGTTTCTTATGCACTCTATACAAAAATAAAACGCTGAGATCATCAGAGGGTTCGCATAGTTATACACAATTTCTCTTAGTTCTTTCTTTCTTTTTTGTTTTGCCTTTTTCTCTCTCTCGCTCTCTTGCTTTCTCTCTCTCTCTCTCTCTCTCTCTCTCTCTCTCTCTCTTTCTTTCTCGCCTTCTCCCTTTTTACTTCCCGCCTGTTCTTCCTTTTTTTGATTTACGCACCATGACGAACGAACGGTATTATTTTACTCTTTCTTTTGTACCTTGGAAGACTGCGGTACAAATGTTTCGATGAGGAACAAATGGAAATAAAGAAAAAAACATGGTGGATTCAAACGAAAGACTCATTACTATATCCCAAGTAAAATGAGTTTTTAAATTTGACTATTTACCTTTCTTTCTTCTTTATTATCTATCGGATGTCCGGAAAATCCACAACCGGAAACGCAATCTTAGACTGAACAATGAACAATCTTGAAAATGAACAGTGAGGGAATTTCATTCGAAGGAAGTACATTGTTCATCATTGTTACGTCTCTGTTAAATACTTTTGTTTTTTTTTTCCTTTTTTCTTTTTAAATTCGAAGCTACTAGTAATCGTAATTGTGGCAGTATCTATATGCTCTTTAAACATACGGTTTATCATAACACGCTAAATGGCGATGAACAAATGGGAAAGTTTAACAAAGATATTTTGAAAACGAGGAAGATACAATTCAGTTCGAGATATCATTACCGAAAGGTCAAGTTTTCTAAACAATATCCTACTCGTGTATTAAGCGGTGTTGAAATTAATATCAATACGGTTTATATAAAATATTCACCATTCACAATTTGGCTAGTCTATTACAAAAGTATATACCTTGCTAATATTTGATCGGTCGCAATGTAAGTACCTTGCGCTATTTCGAGTAATCTATAAAACGTCAGCCTTTGCAGTCTCGTAAAAAATTGTAAGAATATCTTTCTTACGGATCTTTAGTATTGCGTTTGTATTCGATAAAAGAATTCCTTAATAAAATCCGTTAGACTTACTAAAACGAGTTATGTATATGATCTATTGGCACCCTCTGCACTTACGTCATCGAATAAAAATATCCACGATAGTAGAAATAATCGAAACGAACAAATTATCTAAGTATCTTTAATTCTATTCCTGCATTTCTCGTGTATTTCTCTTTTTTGATGAAGTCGAAAAAAATATTCGACAAATGTTAAGTCTGTGAACTAAACTTAAGATTATCGTATTGTCAGAAAGATTGATCGGTGCAAAGGGTTAAAACCATCGTCACAGTTTAGCATATTATCGAGTACAAATTAAAAGAAGAGAAAAAAATAAAGAAGGAAACTGTCTCGTTGCGTCGCGGACTCTCCGGCTACTCGGTAGATGTCTATTTTACGCGTAATGACTTATGTGCAATGCGTACTTATTATATCCCTAGGCTATTGGAAAAAGAGGAGTTTAAATGCTTTGTACTATGTCGAGGAATTTGTATATCTTTCCATATTTTCCTTCCGTCGTTACTCGCCTGTTGTGCTGACGTCTCTGTTTGAAAAACCGGTAATCACATTTATGCACACGCGCACAGAGGACGCACGCAAAAAACGCAAGCACACACACCACGCCGACTGGACAAGCCGAGAAACTGAACCGCGGCAGCTGGATTCTTCGATAAAATATACACGTAAGAACAGCGCCCGTTGGTTCATGCAAAACTTCTTCTGTCTCGCTTTAATCTTTTACGGTCTAGCTTCTCTGCGTCTTTCTTTAATTTACAACCTTTACTAAACAATTTTCTTTTGTTACTCCGACTCGATCAAATCACGAGTCAACCGCTTAATTTTTAACGGACTTCGGAGATACGTAAAATACGTCGAACGTAACGATAATCTTCCAGAAACCAACGTTGAACTTAAACATAACAATATACTGCGAATTCAACGCAAAACTTTTATATCTGCATTCGTCTAAAGAAGAGATAAAGGTAGACCGTAAAGGACTATATATGTATGTACACGTGTACTAGCTGCGTCTTATGTCTAAGGTTACTTAACAGAAACCAACGGCTATTCGGTGAATTCTATAAAAAATTATGCATCTCTCGAGAACTCATTTTCTTCTTTTTTTGTCTTTTTTCCTTTTTTTGAAAGCGATGTATCTTTTACTTGGTGTTCATCTTAAGACTATCCCTCTTTCTTTTTTTTCGGCTCGTTATATACAAGGAGAAAAGTGCGCAGAGGTCGCTTTAGCTCCTCTAAATATATTAGCGCATATTTTGACGTTTTGTTATTGTACTCTTTAGCAACTCGTACGCGAAGTAAATTATTACGCTTCACGCCGACGCCATTTAAATCGAATTCGTTTTCGGCTCTATTCTGGATTAGTACGATTAAGTGCTTTTTTCGACACTGCGTAGAAAAATATGGTTTTCATTGTCACCCTCATATCTCTCAGTGAATCGCGTTTGATTTACAACAAACTGTTATTTTTTAAACTTTTAGTTTTTTTCTTTTTCTTCCCTGTTCGAGCAATTACCTTTACGTTTGATCGCTCGTTGAAAACAATTGGTTTTACAGTAGCTACGCTGTAGATTAGTGAGAAACCAATGCTCGAAATTGTGTTTACTCGTACAGCTTGAATTTCTGGAATTTTCGTGATCGACGAGACGATTTTAAGCGGTCGACTACCAAGATACCATTGGCAATCGTGATGTTTCATTTCGAGCAATGATTACTTTTGAACTTACTAGAGAAATAGAATTCGAGTATCTAATTGTATCGCTGTAAATGAATAGTGTACAAATGACACAATAACGTAGTATCTCGTGTAATTAATCCTCTATAGTTTCAAATATTATAAAAACAAAATACTATACGTTTTAAGATTTTGTCACGATGATGTAAATTTTTAAGACTCATATACATTTTCACCTTTTTTTTAAAAAATTGAAAATTGTCAATGTTTGTAGAAGTTTGATATTTAAAATTAGTTAAATATTGATTTTAAAAGTCGTTTTATAGTCGTCCGATTTGCAAGAGTGATCTATAGAGTATTAAATAAACGAGTGCAAAAGATGTTCTTATGTACTTATCACGCAAAGCAGAAACCATACAAATTTTCGTGAATTTTTTTCGCAAGATCTAAGACTTTTCCTTTATGTCTTTTTTCCTTTTTCACAGTTTTGAGATAAACTGCAAAACAAGATGTACGTAAATTCAATTTGTTATTATCATTTTGTCTTTTTTCCATTCTCTCGTTCTCGGTTTCACTCGCAATCTCTCTCTTTCATTCTCTTAGCTCGTGCAACTTAGGCAATAAAGGCCTATATCTTACGACTACTTATGCTCTATAAAACGCGATTAGATACTACTATCGATTACAAAAACGGAAAGTATCTGGCCAACATTGAAAACAGGATGAAAACAGAATCGTTTTCAACCATCGAGTTCGCGAAACAGAGTTCTTATTCTCGCCATCCTTCGTAATATAAACTAATTTTAATTCTTTCGATCCGCGGTACAAAAGAAAAAGAAATATCTACATATTTAATGCGCGAAAAGAATAAGTACTAAATGTATACACAGCGCTACCAAAATTGGCTCAAAATTTTGATCTTCAGAAACGAAAATAAAAATTTCTTATTTTATGCGAGTAACAAATTTTCGACATTTTTCTTATGTTTAATTTTCATTATTCAACGAAATGGTACGAAATTTCTAAAATATCGAGGACACTGTTTGGCATTAATCGAAACAGAAAGATACAGAAAGAAAAAAACGTGCTTCTTCATTTTGTTTACTGCCATTCTCCTTTTGCGAACAATTCGCCTGGATCCTTTCTTTTCCTTTCTTTTTTTTTTTTTCGTTTAAAAAACACACGTCTTACTTTTTTCTCTTTCAATCTTTCAATCATCATTTTCGCATTATTAAAAAATATTTCATCTTCTTCCTCTCTCGATCACCCGTTCAACCGCCTTTTGTTCATCTCTTTTTAGCTTGTTCACGACGTAAAAAGAGTGTCGGATGGCGACGAAAACGACGAAAAGGTTGCGAACGGGGGACGAAAGAGGAAAGGAGCATACACAGGGTGTCCCGAAAAAGAACTATGCACGAGGCCATTTCCATGGACTTTGACTTATAAGGTGGAAAAAGTATGCAGATGCGGTTAAAGTCCAGCGCTATGCAAAGGCACCGGAGAATTGTTATTTTTTTCCTTCTTTAGAGACGCGTCAACTATTTTTTTTTCTTTTTTTTCCTCTAGGAACACCAACTACGCCTATTATCTCGACGAGGTGATCGGTTTCGAAATATCAAAGCAGACGAACTGTCCACCCCATCGAGTGTGGAAATATCAGGTTCTTTTTTCTTTTTTTCGTTTTTTTTTTTTTTTCTTTTTTTTTGGCTACCCTTGAAAATAGACCGCTTCTTGAGCCTCTCATTTGTTTAATCTCTCAAAAAAATCGTACGTCAAACTTCTGAAAAATCTTTCTCTCACTTTCTCGCTCGCTGTTGTTTTAGTTTTATAAATCGTAAAGCTATTTGTTATTATTCTCATTTTTTTTCCGCGTAGTCCATTGATTTCCTGTTCCGAAAAAATTTGATATCTTTCTCTCACAGTATGTATGTATGTATGTATGTATGTATGTATGTATGTATGTATGTATGTATGTATGTATGTATGTATGTATTTATATTATATTGTATATATATATATATAACTACGCATATGTTAACGTTCTTTCTTTTCTTTCCCTTTGTTTAATCTCTCACAGGCTCTTTCTTTCTCTCGCATTTTCGATTATATATGTGCACACGAGACACACAAACACACGTTCGACGCATTTTTTGTCCGATTCGACGCGCGCGCGCGCACACACATGCATTTCCATACACACGGACGCACACACACATACACGCACAAACGTATCCGCATCCTTTATTTTTTCTCTCTCTTCGTCTTTCAACTTACATATCATAGTAATCTTATTTTTTTCTGCATCTTGTATACAAACTTACTCGCTAAAACATATAACCTAAGGTGTACTCTCTCTTCTCTCTTCTTTTTTTTTTTATGGTTACAAGTACATGGCGGTGGAGTATTTTAATACAGCTCGTTCTTTTATATTTTTTTATGTGTGTCGTGTGTGTGTATATATATATATATATAGCTTTTAGTATATATATATATGTATATATATATTTGTATATAATATTTTTAGTACATTCTTATATTTGAGGTCTGACGAATCCTGAATTTTTTATATTACCTGCTAGAACATACGACTTGCTAGAAACATGATGCGAAAGAGTCGGTGAGGATCGATTGGAAGAAGACCAGAAATTTATGTAATTATTTTAACAGAACTCAGAGAACCATTAGGAAAAAGAAAAAGTATGTGTGTATTTACGCTCGAACGTGAGAAAATAATTAAAAAATATATCAACGATAGATTTGTACGTCTATCCTATCTGTATATCCTAAGTTCTTTACAAAATACTTTATAGTCTATCTATCTCGTAAGCAGTAATGGATCGCCGAAACGCGTCGTCCTCCCAACAAATACGATGCCTTTGATCTTTTCCTTTTCTTTTTTTCCTCTTGTAATAACGCATCACATTCCTAACTACATTTACACGTTATGCTTCTGTATTTTGTTTTTTTTTTTTTTTTCCTTTTCACTTTACATCGCGTAAACATGTTTAACCGTTGTTACGCGTAACGTTTAAAGACATACACGCCAACTAAAGAATTAAAAAACAAAATTGCAGGTGTTAACGATATGGTAGACTGAATATTGCCTGTGGCAAGAAAGTATCGGCGAAGGGAGTTCGAAGGAAATGGCACACTGAATAATACTAAACGAGGAAGAAACGGTTGAAAAGAACATCAGACAAGTCAGACAATTTGAAGAAATGTCATTTTTGTCCGAAATGATCACAGTCCGTGAGAATATTTCACTTTCACGATACGGATAAATAAGAGAAAAAGAAGATTATAAAACTAGCTTTTAACGACGATTAATTGAATATTACCATAATATGTACGTATAAAAAATTATAATTA